GATTCCCCCGGCGCAAAAACAAATATACCAATTTGCTGCTTTGTGATTTGCTTTCTTTTTGACTAGTAGGGGATTGGAAGTGATGAAGATGATACCCCATGGTCCGTTTGGTGAGACGGATTTTGGTGGGCTCTGGATGGGTGGTTGGTGCACGGTAGGCAATGGCCGGCTTGATTTGGAAGAATGGCTCTCCTCTCCCTTTTCGCTCCTATCCTCTCCCTTTTCGCTCCTATCCTCTCCCTTTTCGCTCCTATCCTCTCCCTTTTCGCTCCTATCCTCTCCCCTCACTGCTGAGGGGATCCTCTTCATCACGACCTCCGATTATATATATGAGCAACTGGCACGGAAAACGAAAACGGTGGATTGGCATATGGTGGAGATGTTATGAGTACGGTTATGTTTGAAAAAGCAGGAGATACACACTAGAAGAGCGCACAATCACACTCAGAAATAACTATATGCTGCAGGTGAAGGTGAAGTGGTGATAAATGATTCAATACCAGACCAGGATTGCAGTATTTGCCTTGGCATGCACGTGCATCAACCAGTGACGTCGGCAAATAATTTGTCAAGGCCGAAGCTCTGGCGAACGCGACATTAAACATCCGCAACCCTCACTTCTGCGATTCTACGCCATAAGCAGCGAATTCTACTCTCTAATCCTAACAATGGCGACAAAACGCGCGGTCCAGTTCCTCGCTCTCCGAACCTCCCCCACAATCCTCCGCTCACAATGCGCCGTACCGCAACACATCACTTCGCACACGAATTCCCGGGTTCCTATAACTGCGAGGCCGCGAGTGGCAATAGGACAGCGGAGATGGCAGTCTGCTGCGGCTCCCGAGGGGAAGAGTAGTAAGGTGTACGAATTCTCCGAGGTAAGAAAAGCGCCGCTCTCCCGATGTAGAGAACGTGCAACTAAATACCAGTCTACCACTACTTAGATCCAAAAACTCTCGCAATCTTCCTCTACCTCCACCTCGACCCCGCTGCTTATCGACGTCCGCGAACCGCACGAATATAACCCCGCACACATCCCCTCTGCTATCAACATCCCGATCACTTCCCATCCAGACGCTCTGCTCCTCTCGCCCGAGGACTTTGAGGATAGATTTGGGTTCGAGAAACCGGATGCTGAGAGGGAGGTGGTTTTTTATTGCAAGGCGGGCGTTAGGAGTCGGTTTGCGGCAGATTTAGCAAAACGTGCAGGGTATGAGAGGGTTGGGGAGTATAGGGGAAGTTGGGTGGATTGGGAGAGGAAGGGAGGTAAAGGCATGGCGAGTTGAAGGATGAGCAGGGGGCGGGGGAAGGTTGGTTGAGAGAGGGCAGGTGGGCATTGGAGGACTCGATTATCTGTACATATATGTACATACGAAGGAGCCAGTATTTTTTGAGGAATAACCACGCCACCCCTTGTAGGACACCAAAGTGGTCTCTAGCAACTACAGCAGTACTTTGCAGGGCCTGCTTGATCGTTTTGCCCACGAACTAATATCGCCTCGGAATATTCCTCAATAAAAACCAACTCCCTCGCACTGCGGTAGTACTTAGGCCCTAAAGCAAATTGCCATTTCCCCAAGTCCTTCCCGTCGGGAATCTTAACTTGGAAATTGCCAATTGTAAGGTTCTCACATTCCAGGGTTGTTGTAATCGATTCGCGATGCACCTCGGAGGTGCATGGACTAGCAACATCCTCCTAAGCTGAATGTGGTCAAGTGTACGCTTCGTGTATTCTCCCTGCCACCGCCCGTCAACATCCTCTTCTCGTCCGGCGGCCATGTAGGGGCATTTTCAATTTCTTCCCTCGATACTACTGTCTTCTTTTGCTGCTTCTATATCGCCAGCTCAAGGCTTTGAAATCCACGGTTGAAAGCGAGGTTTAAGATGCCATCCGGAACAAGAAAGACTCACACCAAGAGTCGAAATGGATGTGGACAGTGTAAAGCCCGCAGGAAGAAGGTGTGTGATTCCTCCGTATTATCATGTGTATACTTGCATCTATACCACTTCATTAGGACTCCAAGCTCCAAGCTCATCAGAATCTAGTGCGACCAAAAGCCTCCTCGTTGTAAGAATTGCCAACGATGGGGAATCATATGCGACTACACTGCATTGAGTGTGGCCGTTCAAAGGATATCCAATAAAACATTTGACCGGTCCGTTTCGCCATCTCTCCTGATGCATCACATACTGACTAGGCGTACAGTCCCGTTCATATTGGGATTACGTCCCTTACTCCTCCCAATCCGCCACAAACACTCGGCGTTCGAGATCTAGAGCTTCTACATCATTACGCAATACGGACATCCCTTACTCTTTCGGCTGAAGAGACACTATCAATATGGCAGGTGAACGTGCCCGAAGAGGCTAAAAGCCATCTGTTTCTTATGCACAGTCTCTTGGCGCTGTCTGCGCTGCATCTATCCTATGTTCATCCCGAGAAGCGTGACCAGTACTTTAATGTCGCCAACCAGCAACACGAGCAATCTCTTGCCTCTTTTCGGTCTTCAGTCACAGCCATAACTGCGGACAATGGTAGCGCGGTCACGGCCTTCACATTCCTAACTGTCGTCTTTTCGGTCGGTCTTCCCCTTGTATACGGTTTCGCCAGCACGCCCAATCCAACATCGACATTCACCGACGTGCTCCAAGTCCTGCGAACAGCATGGTCTGCCATGGACCCCGTTCTTCCAAGCATTGAAAAGGGGGCTCTGGGTCCACTGTTTATACAGCCAAATAAAGGCGATAGAAAATGTGGTATGCATATCAAGGGCAACGAGGTGCTCAGGTTCCTTGTGAACATGAACGACACATCCAACGATTCCGATGCCTACAAAGCTATATACCGAGATGCAATGGCTGCTCTCCACAAGTTCTTCACTCAGATCCGCGATACACCACCTTTGTGGGGCAACTCATTGATATGGCCAACTGTTGTGTCCGCCGAGTTCTTCGAACTCCTGCAACAACGACGACCTTTCGCCTTGGTTCTGCTCGCACATTGGTGTATACCGGTCTACCGATCGCCTAGCCTCTGGTTCAACGCATGGGCTAAAAACATTGTTGCTGATATCTTGACGATGCTGGACGACGAGTTCAAAGACGCTATGTTTTGGCCAGCAGAGCAAGTCGGCCTCGTCCCTCTCGATCTACATCAAAGTTTGTGCCCATGTTTGGAATGTTCTCCGTATACTTCAGTCTTAATTTGGGAAGATTCCAAAGCAGCACTCTTAGTATAGATGGCTTCATGTCAAGGACTTACTCTGCAGTGAGCGCGTTGGGGTGATCACGTTATAGAATGAATATCGAGATTGGCTTACATCCCATTCTACAACCTCATGTTGACATGCTCTTGTAATGCATGGTTTGCCTCCTCTTTCCAACAGGTCGTTACAAACTCGATTTGGCCCTTACCAGAGTCATGTTCAAAAACCGACTAATGAACCTAGCAATGAGTAGTATTGATCATTCCATTTCAACTATTCTGTACAATCATAGGAACGGAACCCTTCCGCGCCCTCACCCAGGGTTTCCCAACTCTGTTTCTCCGCACAGACTGTTCGCAGGCGTCCCTTGCTCTCCCTAAAATGCTGTGTCTTGGATTTGGGAAAACCATCTATTGTGTGATAGGGTAGTCTCAATAGCTGGTTGTATTTGGCAGCTACAAGGGATTTCGACCAAAGGAACGGTCAACGATGCCCAACCGGGATGATCCTGCGCTTCCCGCATCGGGTGCTTACCTGCCTGTCTTTGGCAATTCACTTCTCGGCCGATGCTCCCCTAACCAATCAGAATCGCGAAGTGCACAATCAAGTCACTGTCTTTTGTATCTTCGCCACTTATCCCTGTCGCCCTGTGGCTATCGTTTTGTTTGAGAACCCTAATTGGGTGTTACGGACCAGGCCAATCTACGGTAATTGAGCTTCTGCCGATCCTTCCGTTTTGACATCCCAAATGCGACGAGGATGCCACCTTGGCAGACGCGGGCGTTAATACAAGTTAATCCGAAAGGTGCAAGAAGCGTCAATTACCTTGGTTTTACATTTGACGTCGAAACTCGACACTTCCACTTCTTCTTTGCACGCCGTTGCAACATTTAATGGGAATCTAACGTCGTCAGGGCTTTGCAAGAACAACAACTCCACATAACAAAGTAGCCAACAGGATTCCCAATTCGAATTCAATAACTGGAGTTATAGCTCTTACGGAAATCCACGACCGCAGCCGAAGATGCATATCTCAACTCTCCTCTCAGCGCTCGTGAGCGCTACCGTCAGCTGCCTCCCCGTCGACCAAATCGAGCTCAACAATAGCTCCAAGGGGTCCATCGGCCAAATATGCACCGACAGCGAGTTCAGTGGATCCTGTACAGATCTGATCTTGTCCATCCCCAACGAATGCGTAACTTCCAAGAGCGGAGCTCTACCCTAGTAAGTACAACATTACTCTACCACTTCCTCTATACATCTGTTATTTTGTCTCCAATCCAGGCTGACAAATTCAACCCAGCAATCGCGCCATATCCTCGCTCTCAATCTCCACTTCCCAAACCTGCGCCTTCTTCACACTTGAGGCCTGTATCAACCCGGCCGGGACCCACGGCATGGTTGTCCAAGGCCCTGCACAACTCTCGGAGCTCCCCGGTATCATGGACGATACTATTCAAGCGTACATTTGCGGGGCTAGAGCATTGAAATTTGCCCCCAACTCCACTCTTGCACCCGGTACTGTGATTGTGGATGACCTAAGCAAGTGCACCATTAGCACAGGGGATGAGAATGAGGATGAGGATGAGGATTTGGAAGTTTTTGAGGACGCTGTGACAGAGCTGCAAGCGCGGAAAGCGACTCCTCCGCCCAAGGCGAGCTTCGTAGCCAATGATGGCCGTGGTGCTACAATCTGGAAGCAGCAGAACATGATTGGCGACATTGTGCCTGCGGATCAAACGGCCGTGCCTGGCAACGCGTGGTGCACGAATCTCAACAACATATTCGGTGGCTGGGATAAGAAAGTTCGGTCGTTGGTTGTACAGGATGGGTATAAGTGCCAGTTCTATACGTGAGTCTTTTCTGCATGCCCCTTGATAAGATATGATGCTAAATGGAGGGAGTGAGTACGACTGCCCTACTGCTGGACTATACCTCGACCTCGGCAGCAAAGATGACTTGGTCCTTCAACCAACTCTGACTGCGGACTTCGATCTCAAGATACACAGCGTGTTCTGCGCTGCAATCTAGCCCCGGGAACTCCGACTTGTATATCCCTTGCCCTTCGATATCCGGGTGATAGATACCCTTTAAACAAACGGACCATGGCACCGTCAAAGTTCCTCCCTGGCCCTCTTTATACCCACTGCATCAGCTGTATTTGACCGAGGCCATATATACCATGTCCATCCCAATAATGTATATAATATTTCTTCAATCCCCTGAACAGCGGATATCCTAGCGAGCATTTTCATCGTTTTATCTTCTATCTCCATGCCTTCGAGGAAGTAGACGTGAAAAAGGGCCTCCTGCCATCAGATGATCGGTCATCAGGAAGGGCCGGGAACTAGGAAGGGAAAGGAAGTAGATAAAATATCTACCAAGGGGGAAATAAGAGTTACCCTGGCACATGTGCTCTATACCGTTACCAACATGCGCACAGTATATATATCGATGGTCTTACAATTGTGTACAGGCTAACCTAGGTAGCATTTAGAGTAAAGAAATGCGTGTGCAGCGCAGCGTCCATACTCATCTCATCTCGTACGTAGACATGGCAAGGCCGACACGGACTTTTTACAGCGAGCAAATAGCTAATTAGTCCAAATAGCATAGTAGAAACACGCTATTCAAGCACCCGGGTGTGGCAGTCTCTATTCCCGTCCAACTCTTGAATGAATAATAGGCCTAAAGAAAGGATCTAGTCACGTCACATCACATCCGGTTTCAGCACAGGGCCTACGCAACGTTTTTCAAAGATCCAAATGAGCTCTCAGGCACATATTCATTCCCCTCTCTATCTTCCATCCCCTTGCTCGACTTCCTCTACCCACACCACCACACCCAGCAGAAAGAAGAAACAAGAAGCAGAAGGAGACCCTCAAGGGTATAATGACAACAACCTGCGCCACACGCCTAGATCGTTTCCAGATGCCCCGCTCAATGCCCCGACTGCCTAGGCAGCAAAGACTCGGCGAGGAAACTAAAGAAAGGAACTGATATGAGAACCGAGAAAAGAATTTATCATACAATAAGACAAAGTAGGCAAGGTATGGCCAAGCCGCACTCCGCTGTCAGATAACCCCCAGGACAAGCCTTGGAAAACGCCACTAACCGCTAGCTCGGTTCACGAGTTGTCAAATGATCGTAAGAAAGAAAGGTGTGAAAATTGGGAAGGGGAATCGTTTTGTTCATGGCGTCGTGGGCATGTGCAAAAGGGGAAACTGAACTAGGCCGATGCTCTCACTACAGCTAGAAGCTTGCAATTTTATTCCTCGGGCCAGAAATATCTGCAAGAAGCTAGATAAAACGGGTGCTTGAACTGAAGGAGGTTGAGTGAACGTGTCCGTCGGCAACGCCCTGACCCCCACGCATTTACAAAGAAGTAGAATGTCGGTCGACTAATGCCGAGGGGGAGAAGAAGCCGCCATTACCATCGGACGTCAACGACAGAGACGGTGTATTACAAGGGTTGTAAAGGGTTGCCAAAATTGCACGGAGCATCGTATCGAATTCAGGAGCATTCCAAAGAAGGGATAGGAGCTACGCAATTCGTACTCTTACTCTTCGGCCCCAAATATGGTCCTGTAGTTCTCTAGGAGCGCTTGGACCGCGATTCGTTGGTGAGAGACGTCCGTCAATTCGCGTTGAATGTCCATAGGACGCATAATGGTCGGAGCGAAGACGACAGCGAGGTTCAGCGGGGTCATCTAGTACACCTGTTAGACATATCCAATATATAGGAGACAGTAGACCTACCAAGTTGTCTTTGGCGTGTTGAATGACTCGAGACAGGTGGAAAATCAGGAACTGGAGGCAATCGCGGTGAGCACGAGGTACTTCGTTGATAGCGGCGAGCATCGCCCTCGTCTTTTGTTGCTGGTCCTCAATTTCTAGCAAGGAATTAGTCAAGATCAAATCATGCTATCTTGGGTGACTTACGGCCTGCTTCCAAGAACTGATCATAGACATCGAATGTTATCAATGGGACTGGAAGCCTGCGGAAGTAACTCTTCAGAGCAGAGGTAACCGCGTGGATGTCCAGGTCTGGGTCCGAGATGTCGTATTCCGAACTCTTTTCAAAGCCATTACGAACTTGAGTGACTTGAGAAGAGGCACCACTCTTGCGGTAGACACCTTCGACGTCCATGCCTGATGAGAAGTTAGATGAATACTGCATATATAAAATACTCGACAGTGACTTACCGCGCAGTTCAACTTCTTCGATGCATCGACTGACGACTGCTGGTATAACACGTTTCTCGAATTCGCATCGAGCTGTAAGATCAGAGCCATAAAGCACTGAGCTATCCTCCCCAGTGAGATTGGTGCTGCTGTTGTTCTGCTGCAGCCCTTTCAGCCCTGGTCTACCCCCATTTCCTGCTTTTCCTCCACCTCCACCAAACCAGCCGCGTGGAGTCTGGTCATCCTTGGCTCTTTGTAAACTCGCTGTTGTTGCCATGGAAGCCATGGAAGCCATATCTGGTTGAGTATGAGTGGATCCGTATGGAGTTCCAATGACCTTGATGTTGTATTCGTCTTCGCGCCTTGACTCCGAAGGTCCAAAAGCTCCCTTGAAGCCTTTGGTGACGTTTTTGGTGATCGCTTGGCCGCCCTTCTTCCAATTGAATTTGGTAGCAGGCTTCCCAGTCTTGCGTATATTCACGACTTGTGGTTGGGCCAGCGTAGCTTCACTGTCAGCCTCGTGGAGATTAGAGAAGGAGTGCTCGTGCGTCATTCCCTGTATGTCGATCGACAGATCGGACTTGCCGCCCTTATGATGAGCGTGGTATATCCCCAGTCCGTTTGCGTTTGCTGCGGTTCGCCCAATGTCAATCGATTGACTCCCGTTGTGCTGCTTGTTGTCTTTGAGCGTTCGTTGTATAGACTCAATGAGATCACGGTTCATGTTTGAGAGCTTTGTGTTTTGGGCACTAAGCGACTCATACTCCTGGAACCCCTTGTCTTTCATCTGAATCAAGTTTGAGATCTCATCGGTAAGCTCTGTTCGCTTCGATATCAGGTCCTCTATTTGTCCGCCCAATGTATCCTTCAGCTTGTGCAGCGAATTTGCAAAGT